CCCCCCGAGCCCCCCGGGCCCCCCTGGAGCTCCACGAAAAGCCGCACGGCCGCCAGTGGCTCCCGCGCCCGGAAACTCTGCGTGAGCGCGCGGCCGTCGGGCAGGCGCAGCTGGGGGAGAAACCACCCAAAACGGGACCAAAATCACCCAAAACGGGACCAAAATCACCTTAAATCCACCCAAAATCAACCCCAGTCCAGCAGGCGCAGCTGGGGGAGAAACCACCCAAAACGGGACCAAAATCACCCAAAACGGGACTAAAACCACCCAAAACGGGACCAAAATCACCCGAAATGTCACTAAAACCACCCAAAACGGGACCAAAATCACTCAAAACGTCACTAAAACCACCCAAAACGTGACCAAAATCACCCGAAATGTGTCCCAAATCACCCTAAATCCACCCAAAATCACCCGAAATGTGCCCCAAATCACCCTAAATAACCCAAAATCAACCCCAGTCCGGCAGGCGCAGCTGGGGGAGAAACCACCCAAAATGTGACTAAAATCACCCAAAATGTACCCTAAATGTACCCAAAATAACCTAAAAGGTACCTAAAATAACCCAAAATCCACCCAGATCCTCCCAAAATCCCCCAAAATGCCATCAGAGAATTCCCAAATCCCATCGGGGAGCCCACAGATCCCCCCAGATCCTCCCAAAATCCTCCCAGGATCCCCCAAAATGCCATCAGAGAATTCCCAAATCCCATGAGGATCCCCCCAAATCCCATCAGGGATCCCCCCAAATCCCATCAGGATCCCCCCAAATCTTCTCAGGATCCCCCAAATCCCATCAGGGATCCCCCCAAATCCCATTAGGGATCCCCCAAATCCCATCAGGGCTCCCCCAAATCCCATCAGGATCCCCAAATCCCATCAGGGATCCCAAATCCCATCAAGGCTCCCCCAAATCCCATCAGGGATCCCAAATCCCATCAGGGATCCCAAATCCCATCAAGGCTCCCCCAAATCCCATCGGGATCCCCGAATCCCCACCTGGATCCGGCAGTGCTCGTGCTCCCGCGGCGCCGGCGGCTCCCGGGGCGGCTCCTGGGGGGGATTTGGGGGCTCCGGGGGGGTGGGGGCGAACTGCGGGAGGGGCAGGGGGAGATTTGGGGGATCCCGGCGGGGCTGCACCCCAGAGTGGCCTCGGGGATCCCCCAAATCCCCTGGGAATTCCCCAAATCCGCTGGGATCCCCTAAATCCTCTGTGATCCCCCAAAATCCTTTGGAATCCCCCCAAATCCTTCAGGATCCCCAAAACCCTGTGGGATTTCCCCCCCAAAATCCCTTAAGATCCCCCCAAATCCCCTGGGATCCCCCCAAAATCCTTTGGAATCCTCTCAAATCCTTCAGGATCCCCCAAATCCTTTGGTACCCCCCCCCAGAATCCCTTAAGATCCACCCCCCAAATCCTTTGTGATCCCCCCAAATCCCCTGGGATCCCCAAAATCCCCTGGGATCCCTCAAAATCCTTTGAGATCCCCCCAAAATCCTTTGGAATCCTCTAAAATCCTTCAGGATCCCCCAAATCCTTTGGGATCTCCCCCCAGAATCCCTTAAGATCCACCCCCCAAATCCCCTGGGATCCCCAAAATCCCCTGGGATCCCCCAAATCCCCTGGGATCCCCAAAATTTGTTGAGATCCCGCTCACCCTCTGTGCCCGCTCCGCCTTGTCCCGCTCGATCTTCTCCCGCACCCTCTGCCTGGGGAGTTTGGGGGGAAATCCCAAATTTCCAGGGGTTCCCCGAAACTTTTGGGATCCCTAAAAATCGGGAGGGGCTGCGGCAATCCGGGGGATCCCGGCGGGATTTGGGGGATCCCAGAGGGATTTTGGGGATCCCGGGGGGATGTGGGGAATCCTGGGGAGATTTGGGGGATCCTGAGGGGATTTTGGGAATCCTGAGGGGATTTGGGGCGCATCCCAAAGGATTTGGGGGATTGTAGGGGAATTTGGGAGATCCTGAGAGGATCTGGGGAATCCTGAGGGAATTTTGGGGATCCCAGGGGATCTCCAGGGGCACCCCCGAAGTTTCAGGGTGGCACTCTCAGGTTTGGCGGTGCAGGGAGCGTCCCCAAAAGGTTTTCAGGTGGGAATCCGGGGAATTTTTATGGTCTGAGGGAATCCTGAGGGGTTTTTGTCCCCCCAAAACCCCCATGGTGCCACCATTGCCCCTGAGGGCTTTTCCCGCCTTTTTCTTGACAGTTTTTCCCTTTTTGTGAGGGCTTTTCCCGCCTTTTTCGTGAGGGCTTTTCCCCTTTTTTTTGTGAGGGCTTTTTCCACCCTTTTTTGTGAGGGCTTTTCCCCTTTTTCCTGAGGGCTTTTCCCATTTTGTGTGAGGGCTTTTCCCCTTTTTCCTGAGGGCTTTTCCCCTTTTTTGTGAGGGCTTTTCCCGTTTTTCCTGAGGGCTTTTCCCCCCTTTTTCCTGAGGGCTTTTCCCCTTTTTCCTGAGGGCTTTTCCTGCCATTTTTCCTGAGGGCTTTTCCCGCCTTTTTTCCTTACGGCTTTTCCCCTTTCTCCTGAGGGCTTTTCCCGCCCTTTTTCCTGAGGGCTTTTCCCGCCCTTTTTCCTGAGGGCTTTTCCCCTTTCTCCTGAGG